TACTATACACACACACACACACACACACACACACACAGAGACACACACACACTGACCTGCGCTCAGACATGCGGCTATCACGCAGCAGAAGATCAGGAGTGTGAGGCTCTTCATGTTTGTCTCCGTGTTTCAGCTGATCTGTGACTGTTTCTCTGTGTCGCTCACTTCATTTATAACGTGACATCACAACGATCTGACATCACGATTGGATGAGGAATCAAACACACACACACACTGCAGTATCAGCACAGACTCTAGGTGGAGCCGTCCACAAACACCACAATCTTCAAATAATGTGATTGCATACGAGCGGCTCGTCAGCGGAGGAAACCAGCTTCATATAAACATTTCATATAAAGACTTTAATTACAGCTGTTCCTGTAGCAATGATGTTCAGGGCCAAGCGGCTCCTCAGGAATCACCTGGAGCTGTGTGCTTTCCTCTCATCTGTGTGTGTGTGTGTGTGTGTGGGAGTGTGTGTGTGAGTGAGTGTGAAGTGAGTGAGTGTGTGTGTGTGAGTGTGTGTGTGTGAGAGTGTGTGTGTGTGTGTGTGTGGGAGTGTGTGTGTGAGTGAGTGTGAAGTGAGTGAGTGTGTGTGTGTGAGTGTGTGTGTGTGAGAGTGTGTGTGTGTGTGTGTGTGGGAGTGTGTGTGTGAGTGAGTGTGAAGTGAGTGAGTGTGTGTGTGTGAGTGTGTGTGTGTGAGAGTGTGTGTGTGTGTGTGTGTGGGAGTGTGTGTGTGAGTGAGTGTGAAGTGAGTGAGTGTGTGTGTGTGAGTGTGTGTGTGTGAGAGTGTGTGTGTGTGTGTGTGTGGGAGTGTGTGTGTGAGTGAGTGTGAAGTGAGTGAGTGTGTGTGTGTGAGTGTGTGTGTGTGAGAGTGTGTGTGTGTGTGTGTGTGGGAGTGTGTGTGTGAGTGAGTGTGAAGTGAGTGAGTGTGTGTGTGTGAGTGTGTGTGTGTGAGAGTGTGTGTGTGTGTGTGTGTGGGAGTGTGTGTGTGAGTGAGTGTGAAGTGAGTGAGTGTGTGTGTGTGAGTGTGTGTGTGTGAGAGTGTGTGTGTGTGTGTGTGTGGGAGTGTGTGTGTGAGTGAGTGTGAAGTGAGTGAGTGTGTGTGTGTGAGTGTGTGTGTGTGAGAGTGTGTGTGTGTGTGTGTGTGGGAGTGTGTGTGTGAGTGAGTGTGAAGTGAGTGAGTGTGTGTGTGTGAGTGTGTGTGTGTGAGAGTGTGTGTGTGTGTGTGTGTGGGAGTGTGTGTGTGAGTGAGTGTGAAGTGAGTGAGTGTGTGTGTGTGAGTGTGTGTGTGTGAGAGTGTGTGTGTGTGTGTGTGTGGGAGTGTGTGTGTGAGTGAGTGTGAAGTGAGTGAGTGTGTGTGTGTGAGTGTGTGTGTGTGAGAGTGTGTGTGTGTGTGTGTGTGGGAGTGTGTGTGTGAGTGAGTGTGAAGTGAGTGAGTGTGTGTGTGTGAGTGTGTGTGTGTGAGAGTGTGTGTGTGTGTGTGTGTGGGAGTGTGTGTGTGAGTGAGTGTGAAGTGAGTGAGTGTGTGTGTGTGAGTGTGTGTGTGTGAGAGTGTGTGTGTGTGTGTGTGTGGGAGTGTGTGTGTGAGTGAGTGTGAAGTGAGTGAGTGTGTGTGTGTGAGTGTGTGTGTGTGAGAGTGTGTGTGTGTGTGTGTGTGGGAGTGTGTGTGTGAGTGAGTGTGAAGTGAGTGAGTGTGTGTGTGTGAGTGTGTGTGTGTGAGAGTGTGTGTGTGTGTGTGTGTGGGAGTGTGTGTGTGAGTGAGTGTGAAGTGAGTGAGTGTGTGTGTGTGAGTGTGTGTGTGTGAGAGTGTGTGTGTGTGTGTGTGTGGGAGTGTGTGTGTGAGTGAGTGTGAAGTGAGTGAGTGTGTGTGTGTGAGTGTGTGTGTGTGAGAGTGTGTGTGTGTGTGTGTGTGGGAGTGTGTGTGTGAGTGAGTGTGAAGTGAGTGAGTGTGTGTGTGTGAGTGTGTGTGTGTGAGAGTGTGTGTGTGTGTGTGTGTGGGAGTGTGTGTGTGAGTGAGTGTGAAGTGAGTGAGTGTGTGTGTGTGAGTGTGTGTGTGTGAGAGTGTGTGTGTGTGTGTGTGTGGGAGTGTGTGTGTGAGTGAGTGTGAAGTGAGTGAGTGTGTGTGTGTGAGTGTGTGTGTGTGAGAGTGTGTGTGTGTGTGTGTGTGGGAGTGTGTGTGTGAGTGAGTGTGAAGTGAGTGAGTGTGTGTGTGTGAGTGTGTGTGTGTGAGAGTGTGTGTGTGTGTGTGTGTGGGAGTGTGTGTGTGAGTGAGTGTGAAGTGAGTGAGTGTGTGTGTGTGAGTGTGTGTGTGTGAGAGTGTGTGTGTGTGTGTGTGTGGGAGTGTGTGTGTGAGTGAGTGTGAAGTGAGTGAGTGTGTGTGTGTGAGTGTGTGTGTGTGAGAGTGTGTGTGTGTGTGTGTGTGGGAGTGTGTGTGTGAGTGAGTGTGAAGTGAGTGAGTGTGTGTGTGTGAGTGTGTGTGTGTGAGAGTGTGTGTGTGTGTGTGTGTGGGAGTGTGTGTGTGAGTGAGTGTGAAGTGAGTGAGTGTGTGTGTGTGAGTGTGTGTGTGTGAGAGTGTGTGTGTGTGTGTGTGTGGGAGTGTGTGTGTGAGTGAGTGTGAAGTGAGTGAGTGTGTGTGTGTGAGTGTGTGTGTGTGAGAGTGTGTGTGTGTGTGTGTGTGGGAGTGTGTGTGTGAGTGAGTGTGAAGTGAGTGAGTGTGTGTGTGTGAGTGTGTGTGTGTGAGAGTGTGTGTGTGTGTGTGTGTGGGAGTGTGTGTGTGAGTGAGTGTGAAGTGAGTGAGTGTGTGTGTGTGAGTGTGTGTGTGTGTGAGTGAGGGTATGTGTGTGTGTGTGTGTGTGTATGTGTGTGTGTTTGTGTGTGTGTGTGTGTCTGCAGGACTCTGGTCGAGGGTTCCGATGCTGAACTAGCAAGAATGTTTTCTGGCTCTGCTTCTCCAGTCGTGCCGCGCTGCTATTTATTCCCGCACAAAACTCGCTCTTGGACAGCAGCTGTGTAATTTCACCGTCTGACTTACGAATCTCTGGAACGCAGGGGCCACAAAGTCTGCGAAAGAATTCAGTGATCGCCTCAGAATAAACCATTTGTACACGTGGATCCCGAGTGACTGACCGAGGTCAGCAGACGAACACCAAATAACGTCCAATAATCAGCAGATGAAAGAAGAGACCGGTTTAGGTTTGCAGCAGTTTAATTGGGATTAACAAATGAACACAACTGTGATCTGATTAAAACCACTCATTTCTTGTCTGGAAACGTTTTCATCGGACAACTCATTTTTGTATCAATTAAGAAATGCAGATTATCATGAAATACAGGCGCCGTCGTGATTTTAGCTTTGAATAATTGAGAATATGTGAGCAAAAGCGTAGTTGTGTGAGCAAACTGGCCCGTCGTCAGAGAGCGAGAGGAGGTTAGTAACAAACGCGTGCCACACAGAAGCACTTATATATGTGTAAATAGGTGTCTGGGCTTAATTGGTCTGTAAGGCATTATTTAAAGGAAGAGGCTGATTGGTCGTATGCAAGCGTGGAGGCGGGGCTCAGTAGCGACGCAGATGTGGGTTGGGCTTGAGCTGCTGAGCGCTGAAGTACGTTTGATAGGCCATCGGTGATCCGTAGCGCAGAGCGAGCAGACGACAGGGCGAATAATCTTCACAGATCTCGGCCCGCCGCTCGGCCGGAGACTTCATCCTGAAACACACACACAAATACAAACACAGCGTCTGAGCATCACAAATGCCTGACAACAACCTTTACAGTTTCATCTTTACAAAATATGGCTCCAAAACATACACACAACACAAACAAAATAATTAGCCACACACACGCCAAACTAGACAAGACGTGAAAAATGTAAAACACTACTCTTTTGTGTCTTTTGCTTGTTCAGAGTGCAGTAGAGTATACAGGAGTTTGTCATAGCACTCGCACATACATGCATATGCACATATACACTGTATATACAGTATGTATGTACAACTGATGATTTTTACAGTTATGCAACTGAACCGAATCAATACTGAACTGACTTGAGCTGCAGAATGACACTATTGACTTGTTAGAGCTGCTTTACAGCAGAATGTGAATTTGATACTATTGTGATGCTGCTGTGAAACAATCTATACTATATAAAGCACTTTAGAAATAAAGTTGACTTCCTGACTTGGCTTTTATGCATATTTACTGTATATGTGTGTGTGTGTGTGTGTGTGTGTATGTATGTATGTACTATACATACACATACATACACACACATATATACACACATAGTACATAGTTAAATGATTAGAACACTAGCATTCTCACCAGCTAAAAATGGTTTTAAGTCAGTTATTTCTAGCTTTTGCTGTAGTGTGTCAGTAGAAAATATAAGTTTACATTTCCAAACATCCATTTTGCCATTAATTATAATAATGCAGTGAGATTTGTGTGCTCCACACAGAGATCTGATCTGATTATCATCCAGTTTGTCTGGAGTGACATGAAGAAACAGAACAAACGGAGACAGACTCAATCCAGAGGAACTGTGGAGAACAACGTCTCCAAGACGCTTCAAGAAACCTTCCTGCAAAGCTACAGTACTGTTAAAAGTTTTAGGCTCTTGTGTAAAAATGCTGTAAAATGAGAATGCTGTCAAAAATAATGTCATAAATAGATTTTCTTTATCAATTAACTTCTATTAACTAAATTAAATCAACATTTGGTGTGAACATCCTTTGCGTTTAAAGCAGCTTTTGCCCTCGGTGCACTTGAGCAGAGTTTCTCAGGGAGCTTTGCAGGAGGTTTCTTGAAGCGTCTTGAGACGTTGCCACAGTTCTTCTGGATTTAGTCTGTCTCAGTTTGTTCTGTTTCTGTCACAGCCATCTGCTGGAGTGCACATGACAGCCACTAGAGGGCACTCCTCCTGGATCATTGTCCATTGTTTGTGGACTTCATTTCCCATTACCCTTTGCTCTGTCTATTAGTTCTTATTGTTCCCAGCTGTGTGTCATTACTCTTATTAGTTCCCCTATATATACCATGTTCTATTAGTCCTTGTTTGCTTCAGTATTGCATTCTGTTACCTTGTGCACATGTTACTTTGTGTTTGTGGACTCTGTTTTGTGGATTATTTTTTGCCAGTGGCTCTGTT